CTCCCCGCCTGCCTCGCCCGCCCCTGGCCTGCACTTGAGTTGGATGGATTTGACGACGAAGTGTCAGGCATGTTTTCATTGTTCGTTATTAAATGAAAAATGGAATATGGATGTAAATAAAGTTAGATTAAACCCAGAGATTATGTGTCTGTGTTTTTGTTCTTTATTGTAGGTGAGCCGAGATGTGGAGGCAGAGTGTGTGGGCTCAAGAAGTCTGCTTGGATCGGGTGGCCAATTTTGCACTGTTTGGGAATGGTGCCATTCCCTTTTGCCTTTTTTACTACACATAATATTAGCGTTACAGTAATTACAGAATTACATATCAACATAAAATTATTTTTCCGTTTTTTACACTTGGGGTTATATCAAAAATATCATTCACATACATTTCATTTGAATACAACTGAACTTGAAGGAACTACATCAATCCGGTGTTTAAATTACTTACTTTAATACTCACCACACTCTCCTTCGTTTTCGGAACGCCTACACTAACTCTCGTTCCTGACCTATTCTAACATTCATTCACCATACGTGATCGCAGTTTCTTCCACTATTTATACTCGCGTAATCTATATTGTTCCTTAGTTAATCAGGGATAATGAATAAGAGGAAAATGTATAAATAATAAAATGAAATAAAAGTAGGCATTATTGTAAATATATTTTGCTGGAAAACCGAAAGTAAATACATGACAAAAGGTAAGTACTTTCACAGAAACATTTAATACAACTTACATGGCGAATTATTGGCATATAATGATCAATTCTAAAATATTTAGTGTGTTGTAGTTCCCACACGAAAGTAATTAAAACGTTTCCCCAAGTAAAAGGATTAATGATTCCATAAATACAAAATATCGGTAAACAAATGAATATTATTGTTTGCAACAGTTTCATTAGCTAATCCCTAGGTACTTAAACAAACCGAGGTAATACGTAAATAAGCAATACTTCTGGAAATAATGCAGATGATTATATAATTTGAATATACGCACATATTTTAATAAATACTTACTAAATTGGTGAATTTTTTTTTAGTTCTCAGATTCATGTTTCAGTTCTCAGATACAAAATTCAAAACATATATAGTAATTTTTACATAAAAACTATACTGCAGTTTAATAGCATTTCTATTTCATCATATTTAGAAGCGTTTTGTAGAATTCCATATATATGTTTGACATTGCGGGACAACTTATTGCAATGTTCTGGCTTTGTCACCACAATGTCCAGCAGTTTCGAATCAAATTAGTTATTTTGTTGAAGAATTCATTAATCTAAGGGGAACATTAATATTTCCGTAAACATTTCCTGGAAACAAAACATTTTAAGTGAGAATAATGACAGAACGAGGTTTAAAAACTCTTGTGTAGTCAGTTTTGTTTAGATAAGTAAAGTAAAGTAGAAAAACACAATACTTCACAAAAGAAAATAGACACCACTGATTATATGGATTTACAAAACAGTATTTCATCTTTTTGCAGAGAGGATAATGTTATTTCACAATATAATATAGAATTATTGTCCAAATTACACAATTAAATCCATCTCCAATTTCAAATTGGTTTACTAAAAATTACTTTTAGATTCACCATTCTCGAAAAATGTTTTCACCAAGGCAACTGATGAATCTGCCCAGTATGAATAGAGAACTTGATGAATTGTTCAGTAATAAATAATTAAATATGAAGTCTTTGGAAATGAACCCCTTTCTTTCCGTTTTTTCTTTAATAGTCTCAGCCCTGTTTCAGTACTAATCAGTACTAATAACATTTCTAAGCTTCGCAAAGAGTTTTTTCTACGAAACAGCTGAATTGTTGAGAAAATAAATTGTAGTTTCTTTGCCTCGTTCTTGAAGTATATTATTAATTTCTCGTATGTAGAAGGTCGCTGAGAAAATTAAAGAACTATACTGTGGTTCAAATGCTGTCGTTCAAATGTACAACACATTTTGTTTCTATCCGTACAGATTTCATTCAATTCCGCACATTATAATGCTGTTTGGGAACCTTAGCTTTCTAAAATTAGTAGTAGCTTTCTAAAAGTAGCCTTGGTTTTAAAAACAAATTGCACGCAGTCCAGTGATCCCACACATACAAATCAGTGGCACATCCACTGATCTTTACGTATCAGAACCGCTCTGAATCTACATGTATCATCAGCCGCTCCATGTATCAGGCTGAAGTCGCCCCGTCCGTCCCGATCGTGCACTGCAAACGGCCGGCCGTCACTGCGCAAACACCTGACGGTGGCTAGGCATGGTTGGCAGGCCCAGCAAATCCGTCTCACAAACACCTAGTTCTCCACACACTCTGCCACAAGCCACAGGCACTCCGGCGACGAAACCAATGACATTGTCGTGTATTCGATTTAAGCATCTCGACATCACCATGTAGACGTAACGTTTCGTAACTATTAACAATGATTATCTAGAGAAAACATTCAGAACAAATGTTGTACACGAGGTAGACAATGTAAATGGCTCTTTAAAATATCTCGAAAACCTATCATTGTATAAAAAAATGCTTTAAAAATGTTAAGAATTTTTGAAATGGGAAATGCGCATGTGCGACAACCAGCTGACTGTCCCTTATCGAAGGGACAGTTCCTCTTCTAGGCTGTTCCTTGTATAATGTCTTCTATAATAGGGTATTCCTTTGATCAGAAAAGTACTGTTAAGATTTTACAAACAAACAAATTTTAGGTTTGAATTGTTCACATGCCTTAAATGTTTTACAATTTTTATTATTTATTTAAAGTTTAGGGACACATCGACTTCTGAAGTGGTTGAGATGTGCGAATAATGATCCAATGAGTAGGAGATACAATAATATTGACAGAAAAGGAGTCGTATGAGAAGCAGAGGAAGCGGGTTGTGTTGTCCATTACAAATTCCAAATAGCCTGGATATCAAACCCGTGACTAGGTGAAAGAAGTAAATGCCATTACACCATAAGTTCCCACCTTCAATTTTACAGCATTGGGGAGACTTCTCGACTTCGCTTCTTAAGGAATGCTCTAGATTTTAAGCTGCCAAAGAATTTTCAGCTCTCAAAAATAATGTCACAACTTCAACCGAGTATGAACACTATGTACCACCTACGTATTACGTTCATTACGTAAACCGTTGCATCGACACCGTTTTTACATTAGCTGTTATATCAGCCGGATCCACAAGATGTACCTTAAACATAAATTATAAACACACCAGTACTCTTAGATTCAAGATAAGTAGAAACTAATAAATTACTTTATTATTTTGTTTAGTTAACAAGAAACAACAAATTAATTTGTTTAAAACTCAATATAGGTTGTAAATTGATTTAATTTGCCTAAAGGACATTTTTAACGACACTCAATGAAATGATTTGCAGTTCTGTCCCTGCTATCAAACATTCATATCTGATGTTCAAATATTGCATAACAAAACATTACAAAAACAAAAGGTAACAACAATTATTCATGCAGCCATTTTATTTAAAGGGGCTACTGAGCTCATTTTCGTGTTTAAATAACTTGCGTCAGAGGAGCATTCAATTCCGAAGAAAATTTCAGAAAGCAGAATAGAGTCCCACCTCGTATTACAAGGTAGTCGATAATTCAGATGCAGCTGATTGTTCCAATTTTCAACCCCAAACTGCCTACTAGAAATACAAAACGTCTTCGATTTTTTTCTTCTTGAGATGGTTTCACCGATAGATACCAATTACACTGATTGGAGCGTACAAGTTGACACATATGGTATAAGGCGTTAATGGAATTGTAAACTCAACAAAAATTATAGTTTAGGTCGACATAAGACAGAGTATTTATGTATATTGTATCAACAACATCGTTTA